ATTTTAGGCTTTTTTTGGCCTAAAAATATGTACTGAAAAATGTATCTAACTCGAGGTCAATGTCGGCTTAGTCTTCAAGAAGTCGTCATTATGCCAACACACAAAAAGGAGCGAAGAGGCTTCACTGTACATGCATACAATCATCAGCAATGAAATCGCTGTCTTGGTCATCGATCGAATTGGGTTACCATGCAAGCCGCGCTATAACTGGTTGGGAATTATAGCGTCGTCAGAACGGTATCAGAGTGTGGAAGATGCTTCTGTCAAATTTATTTAGGTAAAATTAATTAATTCTAAGGCCCACGGTAACCTAAAATATTAGGTTAGACGGGACCTAAATAGTAGGGAAAATATACCAAAAATTTAAATTTTTAGGCAGTACATGACCTAATGTTGTTCATCATTTTTCTGGGGGTATATAAAAAAATCAGCAATAAATGCTTTGCTAATAGTAGCGGACAACGTCGCTTCGGGTATTGCTAGTATTCATATAATTGCGTTCTGACCATTAAGCACCGCATGGAACCCTTTGCTTGCTTTTAAAGATTTTTTCCCGCTGCTTCCGTCCAGATTGTAGTTAATGACACTGTGCAACATTTTTAGGGTTATAAAATGTAACCGCAATTCTGATTTCATGGGCGGAAAGAACTCATCGAAATAAGCTAAAACCCATTTGGGCTTCTCTGGCTTAGCTCGCGTTTACCTTTTATAGCGAGTTAAAGTTTTACATACAAAATTTATTTTTAACGGCCATATCTTGTGAACCGATTAAAATTTCACTATCAAGTCTTCAGTGATTATGTAGCTATGAACCCAAGGAACTAAATTGACAAATGACTCTTGCGCACTTAGCACCTAGTGCACCTAGCGCGTTAAAAAACAAATTTGCCTAATTTTTCGATTTTTAACGCGCTAGGTGTACGTCTTCGCAAGAGTCATTTGTCAATTTAGTTCCTTGGGTTCATAGCTACATAATCACTGAAGACTTGATAGTGAAATTTTAATCGGTTCACAAGATATGGCCGTTACAAATAAATTTTGTATGTAAAACTTTAACTCGCTATAAAAGGTAAACGCGAGCTAAGCCAGAAAAGCCCAAATGGGTTTTAGCTTATTTCGATGAGTTCTTTCCGCCCATGAAATCAGAATTGCGGTTACATTTTTCATGTTGCACTGTGTGACCAGACTATTGGAAATAATCAGCTTAAGGCATTTTGGTGCAAATTAAAGTTAAGTCTATCACAATATCTTACATATAAAGTAGCACTTACCTGACTTTAATTTATGTACAATATCACTTGCCACAAAATATTTAACTAATCACGCAAATCCTACTTCTCTCAGAAAACCTTAAAAAATAATGCGATGCACCAAGTCTTCTTCTTACCCCTTTAACTGATTTCGTTTGCTTCATCTTCGCTGTTGGCGTGTGCCAACGCTCCTATAGCCTTTCTAAAGCGGTATATGTCCGACTAAATAATTTGTATTTGTGTAGTAAAAACTCAATTACTGTTACTGTTATAATATTTAAATAAATATAAATGGATCATTTTTTTAAACTAAACTAAAAAATTAACTTATAAAATCAAGTTAAATAAAAAACAAGAAAGAACGCTATAGTCGGGTGCCCCGACTCTCAGATACCCGTTACTCAGCTATAGGGAGTGCGAGGGAGATGGAGATATAAACTTTGATGAACCATAACTTTTTAACGAATGGTCCGATTTAAAAAATTCTTCTTCTACATTTCGATAGGTATTGATAGGCACAAAAAAACTGCATTTTTACTTTTCCGAAATATTTAAATTTTTAAAATCGTATATAAGCGATTTTTGACGTTAGAGGGGCGTGGCACTTTTTTGAAATAAACTTGCGCTGCGTAGGAACTCCTAGAATCTGCATGCGAAATGCCAATCTTTTAGCTTTTGTAGTTTCCGAGATCTCAGCGTTCATACGGACAGACGGACATGGCTAGATCGACTCGGCTAATGATCTTGATCAAGAATATATATACTTTATAGGGTCGGAAATACTTCCTTCTAGCTGTTACATACTTTTGCACGAATACAATATACCCTCTTACTCTACGAGTAACGGGTATAATCACTATGGATGGCAGTCCATGTAGTGACGAAGCGCACCAGGAGAGTGTGCGAAGGCGACTACTATTATATAGCCGCAAAATTGAAAATCTGCTGTGATAGTCCGATCGTAATGAGTAATACACCAATCGAAAGGTATTTCAAAAACTTAATGGATTGCATACCAAGACTTTAAGAAAATCAATTGGCTTGGGAGAGAGAGCAGTGAAAGTGAAAAAGTGCAAATTTCGAAATTTGGAGCTGTTGGGGCCGGTGGGGATAAATGCCCCCTCGCAATGTTTTATAACACAAATTTATTCATTCGGCACGCTACAACAGAAAACTTCCGTGTAGATATTAAATATTTGCTAAAGCGGGCCGAACGAGTATATTTTAGGTAGCGTACTTATTTAGTCGCATCTAATATCATTTTTCGTCACAAAATTTGATATCAGAACTTTTGTACGTTGAAGGTGCGATCGTCACTATTTTTTTACCTCGTTAAGAGGTGTTTTTATTTGATAAAAATATAGCCATGTCCGTCTGTCCTTCCGTCTGTCCGTATAAACGCTTAGATCTCGGAAACTATAAAAGCTAGAAGGTTGAGATTTTCCACACATATTCTTGGGCCTCCTACGCAGCGCAAGTTTATTTCAGCCAAGCGCCACGCCCCCTCTAACGCCCACAATCGCCCACTAACGATTTTAAAATGTGTCTGGCGCGCACATCTTTAAAGATTTCTGAGAAAATTAAATACAATTTCGTTGTGTATATTTATACCTATCGAAATGTAGAAGACATTTTTAAAATCGGACAATTCATTAAAAAGTTATACGCAATCAAAAAATGTTATACATCCATCTCCCTCGCACTTTAGCCGAGTGACGGGTATTAGATAGTCGGGACACCAACCCGACTATAGCGTTCTCTCTTGTTTTTATCTTAAGACTTACGGTAGTTCATTTGAACTAATTAGCCTTTAATAGCTCATTTGAAAGGTTATTTGTTTCTTCATGGAATTTCTTATTAAAGACTATTAAAGAATCACAGCAGTCCTATAGGGAGCAACATTATTTTCGGTTTTGTCGAGAGTCAAATTGCCCTAGAAAAATCGGTTGACAGTTATTGGCAAGCTCTGGTATAGACTATTCCATTGCTCAGTTTTGCTCTCAGCTACTGATAAACAGGGGTAAAGGGGTAACCACCAGTGTTTTTAAACTATCCTGCGTTTGGCTTTTGCAGCTGTAACCAATATGCAAACAAACCATTTGCCGCATTAATTGCAAAGTAATGCGACCCGGAGCGTGAAATGTAAAAATAAACGGCAGCTGCTCGCGATTTCATAGATGACTCGCGCGGAGAATCAATTGAGGGGGGCGTGTTCAAGGATAGTGGACAGAGAATTGGTGTGGCAAATTGAGGTCATGCCAGTAAACTGTCTGTTCCGAATGACCACCATGCGCCATGCCAAAAATGGAGCAATTAATTTACAATTATGCACCCAGAAAAAAAAGACCGAAAAAATCTAAGACCGAATTTCTTACATTACTACCGTTTTGTTCTTTTATTTTTTTAAGACCATATTCTTATATTGATACCAAAGGGTATTGATTTAAGACCAGTAAATTTAGGTTTAAGTTGAACTTATGCACGCGCGTGTAACATGGTGCGATGGCCCAGTTGGTAAGGCGTCTGCCTCTGATGCGAGAGGACCCCGGTTCAAAAACCGAATAAGTCAAAATAAGTAAAAAGTTTTTCAAACGTATTTCAATTAACATTTCCTTTATAACTTTAAGAACAAAAATGTATTAAAAAAGTAAAGTTATTAATTTACTAATTACAAAAAAAAAAAGAGAGAACGCTATAGTCGGGTGCCCCGACTATCAGATACCCGTTACTCAGCTAAAGGGAGTGCGAAGGAGATGGAGATAAAAACTTTGATCCGACGTAACTTTTTAACGAATGGTCCGATTTAAAAAATTTCTACATTTCGATAGGTATTGATAAACACAATAAAACTGCATTTTTACTTTTCCGAAATATTGAAATTTTTAAAATTGTATTTAAGCGATTGTGGGCGCTAGAGGGGGCGTGGCACCCTTTTGAAACAAACTTGCGCTGCGTAGGAACTCCTAGAATCTGCATGCAAAATGTCAATCCTCTAGCTTTTATAGTTTCCGAGATCTCAGCGTTCATACAGACAGACAGACGGACAGACGTACATGGCTAGATCGACTCGGCTAGTGATCCTGATTTAAAATATATAAACTTTATAGGGTCGGAAACGCTTCCTTCTAAATGTTACATACTTTTGCACGAATCTAATATACCCTTTTACTCTACGAGTAACGGGTATAAATATAAGTTGTGTTGTGAGCGGGAATTGAACCTCGTACTCCCAAACACAAAATAATACCAAAATCCAGCACCTTGGCCCCTGGGCCATGGCCCTCTTATTTCCTTCCATGGCAGAATGCTTACAGGAGCATTCAAAGAAATTTATTTTTTTACTAAAAATAAATATAAATTTAAGTACGTTTCGTTCTTAAAGTAAAAACAGCGGTCTTAAAAATCCGTTCTTAAAATAATTATTAATTATTATAATGATACAAAACGGTATAAAGCTATTTTTGAGACTCAAACAGACACGTTTTCAGAGTGTGTCAATGATTGCAAATAAGCGCAGTAAAAACGAAACAAACATTAAAAAAACAACAAGAAAGGAAGCTACCTTCGGCTAGCCGAACCTTATATACCCTTGCAGATAAAGTAATTTTCTCGGTGCAGTTCCAGGGATTCCAGATTCAGCGTTTCTATTTAAATTTGGTTTTTAAGTAGTCAAGAATTAAAACGCCTACTTCCTACAAAGTTACAATGAATTTTCTTATATTTGTTTGAATGTTCCTATGGGAGCCTTAAGATATAGTGGTCCGATCCGGCTCGCTCCGACATATGTACTACCTGCAATAGAAATAAGACTTTCGGGAAAGTTTCATCGCGATAGCTTTAAAACTGAGAGACTAGTTCGCATAGAAACGGACAGACGGACAGACAGACAGACAGACGTACAGACGGACATGGCTACATAGAATCGGCTATTGGTGCTAATCAAGAATATATACACTTTATGTGGTCGGAAACGTCTCCTCCACTGCGTTGCAACCATCTGAGTGAAATTATAATACCCTCTACAAGGGTATAACAACGTCGAAAAATGTTGTCTCATATGAAGTTTTTGTTTTGGACGACTTTTTGTTGGGTTGAGTACTAGCCCTAAATTAAAAAATCCCCTGAGAAATATCTAGTACATATGTCGGAGAGAGCCGGATCGGACCACCATATCTTAAGGCTCCCATAGGAATATTTAAACAAATATAAGAAAATTCATTGTAACTTTGTAGGAAGTAGGCGTTTTGATTCTTGACTACTTAAATAAAAAATTTAAATAAATAGAAACGCTGAATCTGGAATCCCTGGAACTGCACCGAGTGAGCATTCTTTTATCTGCAAGGGTATATAAGCTTCGGCTGGCCGAAGGTAGCTTCCTTTCTTGTTTTTTGTATTTTTGAAATTTTGTGGGAAATTAAAATAATGATAATTTCCGAAAAAATACACTTAACCTTTCCCCATAAAAATGTATCTAAAATTCACCATACAACGTCAAAAAAACACGTGATCGGGGAACACTGTTGGAAGCCAAAGAATATGTGTGGTTAATCCAAGCATTCTAGCTTTTGTAGTTTCTGAGGTCTCAGCGTTCATACGGACAGACAGACAGACAGATGGACATGGCATGACAGATCTATATGGGGTCGGAAACTATTCCCTATTCCTGTTTCATATTTTCCGACGAGTACAACATAGCCTTTGTCTCTACGAGCAACGGGTATAGTTAAGAATTAAACGGATTTTTAAATAACTAAATACTTTAATTATTTTCGATATTTCGACTATCGATACAAGCCAGAAGCTATGTACCATAGCGCACAATTTTTACGCTACCTGATTGTTTATCAGTGATGAATTCTTTTTATCATGTGTGTTTATCAGAACTATCGTGAGATATTCATGATTGATTAGGTGTCATGTTGTTCTGCTGACCACGCCAAGGTTTCAGTTTAACTCTGGGTTTCGACGAAAAATCGAATTTTTGAACAGAATACGCTTTAAAGTTACTAACACTGCCCAGATCCTAGAGTTATGTCGCCATTAAAACGCTTGTGCGTGCGAGTACTCTTAACTTTTCTAAAATGTATACAATTAGGTACTAAGGTCTGCGTCTTGTTTTAGCTTGTCACGCATTGATGCGATTACCGAAAACATCGGACCATGCCCTGGGACAATAAAGTCGCATAGATGTGCCATTTTACAGCGTTCCTTGCGCTGAAGCTTCACACACTCGCTTCCAGCATCCTTCCAAATGCTCTCGTCCTCTATGTCCTCGCGTCTCTCAAAGAGATCCCCGGTAATACCAACCCGCCCCCCCAGCTGGGAGTTGTCCACAATCACTGAAACGCAGCTATGGGTGTGTCCTGGCGTTCGTCTGACAACCACCTCGGCATTCGAGTCTAACGCCAATTCCTCGTCCTGATCTTCACTGCTAAAGTGATTTAAGTAGAGGTCGCGGTACGAGGCACACGAGCCGACCAAATGCATTCTTGCATTCTGGAACAGGTAGTTGCATCCAATGTGGTCAGAGTGTCCGTGTGAGCAGACCACGACGTCGACGTTGTCGACGCCCACGCCGTGATCGCCCAGCAACGAACACAGGCGCTCTCCATCCCAGGCCGTCATTGTGTCCACTATGACGTTGGTGCCATCCCTGCAGCGTATCAACGTGGAGGTGCAGTTGGCTCTCATAGAAGTCTCGTCACCGTCTTCCTGGCGAGAGTATCCGTCCTGAAGTACAATTACATGGTTTCGTTGTATAGTGGACAGTGTATCAGTGAATGCCATTTTAAGTTTAGCAATTTAAGTGTGTAAAGGTTTATTTTTTGTGTAAGGCTGGTTTTAATGTTTACAAAATTGTGCTAGATGCTTAGTGGCTGAGGTGAAGAAACATCGATGTTAACATCGATGTCATCGATGATTTGGAAACATCGGTAACATCGATGTTGGCTTGTCAACATTTTTCCGGGTTTTTATTCGGGATCTAGACCTTGCGAATCGTCGTAAAAGATTTCTTCCATCGTTTTCCCATTTTAGTCTTGTCAAATTATGAATTTCGTTGGAATAATTGGTTAAAAAAATGGAGAGACAAACATCAAATGAACTATTAAAATGTAGATTAAAACAAGAAAGGATGCTAGCTTCGGCCATTTTCTCATTATTTTCCCGATCGTTCCTATGGTATAGTAGTTCGATTTTTACAAAATTAAAAACCGAAATTCCGAAATATTTAAAAAGAGTCATATCCCGAAGTAGAAGAGAATACAATAAAAACCAACGAATCAATAGTTTATTTCCTATTATATTCCCTTTAATTTTCCGATCGTTCCTAAAAATTAAATAAAATAATATTTTTAAAATAGGAGCTTAAATGTCAAAAATACACCCAAGCTACAATTTCTTTACATTTTTTCCCCCGCGTATTCCTATGGGAGCTACTTGATATAGTTGTGCGATCCGGCTCTTTCCGACTTACATACAGTGGTGGCCACAAGTTTAGCACACCATGCTCGCACCATTTTATTTCCTTTATTTTTTTGGCCGTTTATGAGCTACAAAAAAAGTGTGTTGAGAGAGTCCAGGACATTTTATAAGGACTTGAAAATCAGGATCTGCTGAAATGCCATGAAATGGAGAGTCTATTTATCACCATTTATCAGGTCCCAGCTTAATGTTTTCGACCGCATTATCTTTTAATTGTTTAATTTTAAGGATAACACGTAAATAAAATTGATGAGGATCCATTTGAACACTTAACCTGCCTAAAAACAGGATATTTTGACAATTTTGGTTTTATATGTTCCAGGGTCGTTGTGATGCATCTATAACAGCGGTCGGCAGCGTCCTATTAAGTGAGCATAGGGAATTGCTCTGCTCACACGCTGCCCCTCACGGACACTGTAAAACAGCAGTCTGTACACACACATCAATGCGCTGCCCCGTGGAAATTACTCACACAAATATAAAACAAAATGTCATCGTATGTGTGTGCCGACCGCTGATCTATAAACATCGTTTCTTCAATTTCTTTTCTTATTTAGGTTGACTAACCAGAATACGAAGTAAAAAGTTGAGGAAAATAATCAGAAGTGTGAAAAGGATATGAATTTCCTAAAGTGTGCTAAACTTGTGTCCAGCTCATTTTGCAGGTTGATCCACTAAAATGATTGCGAATGCGATGATATTTACAGTGGAAGTTGTTCTATTTATAGCACGAAGGTGGGTGAAAACAGGAAGCCGAAAACTCTAACGGTAACGAAGATATAGAGGAAATAAAATGGTGCGAGCATGGTGTGCTAAACTTGTGGCCACCACTGTATATACAGCCTGCAATAGAAAAAAGTTTCATCCCGATAGCTTTAAAACTCGGAGACTAGTTTGCGTACACACAACAAAATTTGCTTGGTAAAATTGACCAATAAAGATAGTTCAGTAACTATAAAAAATAGTACTTTAACAATAAAAATAACGTAACTTCTTTAGTATAAAAGTATGCAACAGTAATTTTACAAATCTTCTGCGATGCCTTATTTATAATTCCCAACTGGGGGTAGCCCTTCATGAACCCAGCCAAAGTCAGATTCTGAGTCATTAAGACTTATTTTCTGTCTTAAGTCTTTAATATACTTCCACACCAGCTGGAAGTCAAGTGCAACCCGCACCTTAATAAGGTGTAGGAAAAAGTCACTTTTGGAAAAAGTAATTGGACAACTACCTTTTTAATACTACTTATACTTATATACTACTTATATACTGTGAAATAACTATAAATAATTGTATATTTACTATAAAAATAGTAAGTTAACTACAGTTTATGGTTATTTGCACATCCTACCCTTTTTTACAGTTGCATAACTATTTTTTAAAGTTACCCTTACGCTTTCGAATTACGTAAGAGAAACAATTTACTTAGTAAAATTGACAATTTTTATGGTTGGGGCCTGTTTGACAATTACCAGGGACTGCAAATAAGTGTTATGAGTTTAAAAAAATTGATAGTCAAAATAGCGTCAAAAAAATAAGGGAAAAAAACCACTTACTTAGTATAGTTCGGCAAATGGGAAAACGTGATAAACCTTTTTTTTCAATTTTTATTTTATAAATTAAAAATAAGTCTTATTTTTCAATTTTTAAATTAAAAATTGAAAATAAGTCTTATTCTTAAATTTTTATTATAAAAATTGAAAATAAGTCTTATTTTCCAATTTTTTTATAATAAAAATTGAAAATAAGTCTTATTCTCCAATTTTTATTATATAAATTAAAAATAAGTCTTATTCTCTAATTTTTATTATATAAATTGAAAATAAGTCTTATTCTCCAATTTTTATTATAAAAATTGAAAATAAAAATTGAATGCAAATATCTTTTAAACCAATGGGAATATGGGCAAAAATCTAAAAACAGGATTGATCCTCGAGTCAATACCTTTCATATGAGCTATGACATGACTATGTCCAAGGATATTTTAAGGACTTATAACGCCTTTTAATGTTTTATATATGTAACTGCTATGTTCGGTGGAAGTACATGACGTAAAAAAAAAGCCATTTAGTACCAGAAAATCCAAATGATACGAATAAATATCCCAGTCGAAATGCACCTGTCCATCTGTCTGATTTTGCATAAAGTAATTAAAAAATGAAAGTCGCGAATTTTCCAATTATTTTTAAGTATATTTAGTTAAGTTAAGTTATGTATGATCCACACAAATAAATCCTCTTGTTCCTAAGAATTCGCGGTTTTTAAAGAATCGACATAGAATACATATTTAGGTATCTGAAGTAAAGTTATGTAAGATTTCGCGGTTTTTTAAAAATTGATCTAAAGATGTATTCCGCGAATTTTTAGGATTAGCTTGAGTGGATTATACACAGTTTAACTAAAGAGATCAATTTTAAAAAAAACCGCGAATCCGTTGAAAAATCATAATGGGTGCAAACTTAAAGTTTACATCCTACCAAATAAAACAAGCCGGATATGGTCCAAATCCATGGAAAACTGGATTTATGGTGGATTTTTAAAGTTTGGATTTTTCCACTTTTTTCGGTTGACAGAGTTCAAATTTAAGATTTATCATAGGCGGCGACATGTAAACATAAATGAGTGGTGACGGCAACGGGGTCAAAAAATAGCTACATTTAAAAGCTAGAAAATTATATAAATAAATTTAATTTCTAAAAATTCCTAAAAAAATATAAAATTGCTTGCGGTATGACTGTAAGTATTTTTAATAAGTAACATCCATTTGGATAATTAATAAATTTCAAAAATTAAATTCACTTTTGTAATTTTTTAGCTATTAAATATCTGATTTAGCTATTTTTTGACCCGGCTGCTGTTAAGCTGTGATCTATTGACTTTAAAATAAAACGAAAACTTGCCCAATCGGGTGGATATCTGCCGAGATACAAGAAAAAATTCGAAAAAAGTCCGAAATTTAACATTTTGAACTTTAAAAAATCTTTAACAAAAAACTGTGCCATCGAAAAAAAGATAGTGGTTTTTTTGGGATCTAGGGGTCCAACGCTAACAGAATTTGCCATCAATTGCTGGGGAGCACACCAAGAATATTATTTTGTAAACTAGTGTTATTACAGTTGATGTTACCAAGTTTTTTTTTTGTGGACGGACAGACAGACGTTCACACAAAAAACAAGAGAGAACGCTATAGTCGGGTGCCCCGACTATCAGATACCCGTTACTCAGCTAAAGGGAGAGCGAAGGAGATGGAGATAATTGGCTTAACTCGTGGGTTAAACTTTGATCCGCCGTAACTTTTTAACGAATGGTCCGATTTAAAAACTTTCTTCTACATTTCGATAGGTATTGATAAACACAATAAAACTGCATTTTTACTTTTGCACGAATCTAATATACCCTTTTACTCTACGAGTAACGGGTATAAAAACTATCAGGGTATTCCCTAAACTGTTGAATTGCTGAATTGTTGAAAATTCAACAGAAAATTTTAGCAATTAAGGGTACGACCCAAAATGGTTCCTGTTGAATTTTCAAACAGCTGTTATTTGTTGAAAAATTTCACGGAACTTAAAGCATGTAAAATTTGATTTATTATTGCTAGTTACTAGGGGGATTCCCTAAACTGTTGAATTGCTGAATTGTTGAAAATTCAACAAAAAATTTCAGCAATTAAGGGAACGACCCAAAATGACTCCTGTTGAATTTTCAAACAGCTGTTATTTGTTGAAAAATTTCACGGAACTTAAAGCATGTAAAATTTGATTTATTATTGCTAGTTACTGTCTAAAAGTGTTGCCAAGGTAAAAAGAACCACAAATATGCTTTCTAAGTTGATTTTAAAATAAATAATGCGTACTGGTGATACTAAAATGTTACAGAGTTGCCACGACTTTTTAAAAAAGGTGACAACTCTGGCTTTTCAGCAATTCAACAAAATTTTCAGCAGCCCCGAGGCTGATGAATTGCTGAAATTTCTGAAAGTTGACTTTGTATGGAACAGCTGATTAACAGCTGACCAAAATTCAACAATTCAGCAATTCAACAGTTTAGGGAATCCCCCTACTGTCTAAAAGTGTTACCAAGGTAAAAAGAACCACAAATATGCTTTGTAAGTTGATTTTTAAATAAATAATGCCAGAGTTGTCACCTTTTTTTTAAAGTCGTGGCAACTCTGTAACAAAATTTTCAACAGCCTCGAGGCTGTTAAATTGCTGAAATTTCTGAAAGTTGATTTTGTGTGGGACAGCTGATTAACAGCTTACAAAAATTCAACAATTCAACAGTTTAGGGAATACCCTGAACATGATAACTGATCACTGATGGATTTCTTACGATAGTTCTGCTGAACGCACATGATTAATAACCATGATGGATGAATTTTGCATCAGTGATCAGGTATCAGGTAGCGTAAAAATGGTACGTTACCTTTTCTTGATACATGATACATGGCTTCTGGCATGTATCGATAGTCGAAATATCGAAACTTATTAACATAATAATGGGATTCCCTAAACTGTTGAATTGCTGAATTGTTGAATTTTGGTCAGCTGTTAATCAGCTGTTCCATACAAAGTCAACTTTCAGAAATTTCAGCAATTCAACAGCCTCGGGGCTGTTTAAAATTTTGTTGAATTGCTGAAAAGCCAGAGTTGTCACCTTTTTTTAAAAGTCGTGGCAACTCTGTAAAAGTTTAGTATCACCAGTACGCATTATTTATTATAAAATCAACTTAGAAAGCATATTTGCGGTGGTTTTTACCTTGGTAACACTTTTAGACAGTAACTAGCAATAATAAATCAAATTTTACATGCTTTAAGTTCCGTGAAAGTTTTCAACAAATAACAGCTGTTTGAAAATTCAACAGGAACCATTTTGGGCCATTCCCTAAATTGCTGAAATTTTTTGTTGAATTTTCAACAATTCAGCAATTTAACAGTTTAGGGAATCCCCCTAATAATTAAAAAAAAAAAACCATCAATTCGGTGGAATTCTTTATAAATGTTTAGCCATTTTTGATTTTTCCCTAAACTGTTGAATTGTTGAATTTTGGTCAGCTGTTAATCAGCTCTTCTATACAAAGTCAACTTTCAGAAATTTGAGCAATTCAACAGCCTCGGGGCTGTTGAAAATTTTGCTGAATTGCTGAAAAGCCAGAGTTGTCCCCTTTTTTTTAAAGTCGTGGCAACTCTGTAACATTTTAGTATCACCAGTACGCATTTTTTATTTTAAAATCAACTTAGAAAGCATATTTGTGGTTTTTTGTACCTTGGTTACACTTTTAGACAGTAACTAGCAATAATAAATAAAATTTTACATGCTTTAAGTTGCGTGAAACTTTTCAATAAATAACAGCTGTTTGAAAATTCAACAGGAACCATTTTGGGTCGTTCCCTTAATTGCTGAAATTTGTTGTTGAATATTCAACAATTCAGCAATTCAACAGCTTAGGGAATCCCCCTTATATTTTTATTGAAACGAACTCTGGTGTTTTCGGAATTGAGCGGCAAAACCCTATGGACCATCCGTTCAACGGACGGTGGATAGCTTTCTGTGGGAAGACGCTATCAGGAAATCAGCTAATAACACTAAAAAAAATGTACAAGCATTTTTTAAAACGGAAAACATCGATGATTTCAAAATAAAAAACAGCATCGATGCATCGATGTGTTTATCGATTTTTCTTCACCCTTACTGGCACAATGAGAACAGCTGATCGACAACTTTCTCACATGTTAATACGGCGTAACTTTGTTATTATTTAACATTTGCTGAGTAGGGCTGCTGTGAGCAATGTATCTGAACTGCCTACCACGAGCACAATGGAAGCACCTACAATGCCTGTTGCATGTCCGTCAGCTTAAGTTGCTGATGGGGCGTGCAAACATCGGGACAAAGCCGCCCATAGAAACAGCTGCTTTGCTGCCGGCAAAGAAACATCAACTAAGGAGGTTCTCACAGCTGATAGACGGAGCTCCCCAGGACAAATTCGACGAAATGAGTAAGCAGGATGCTCTGCTAAGACGGCTGGAAGAGGCCAACACGAGCGACAGGCTTCTGGAGGTGTTGAAAAGCAGCGACAGCCTGCAGAGCTCCCATGTGGTGGAGGCAATCTCTCTGTTATGGCAGCACTATCAGGACATGGATCAGCCAGGTAGAGAAGCCATCACACAACGTGTACTCGTGGATATACTGCCAATGCTGGGTCCTTGCATAAACCAACTGGAAGTCAACAATCTTAGTCGTTGCTATCTGTACCTGCGAAAAATGCACATACCAAACTGCGAGCCAGTCGTGGAGGCCACGCTAATTAGAGCTCTTCAAGTGGTCGAAGCACAAGTGCATGGAGCGGTCATTCCATTGACTGCCTTGTCCCGGCTCTCAGTGGGAATTAACTTGGAGCGCGACTTCTTTACCCCGCTCGTGTGCAGGAACTTTGTGCCGCACCTGGAGCAACACATATATCAATGCCACAGTGAGGAGCAGGTGCGACTTCTGTCTACGTGCCTCTTTCAGCTGCACTTTCTCATCGACGAGGAGCTACTTACACACTTTAAGAATCGAGTGATTGAACTGCTTCAAATCGGCGTTCTTAGCAGCAAAACGCCTAAGGCTCTCCTTAAGGTGCTACACATGCTTAATATTCCATCGTGGTCACAACATCACACTCAATTGATTCGGGAAGTCATGCTGGCTTTGCGGCAATGCATCCACCAGATGGAGTCCGGAGACCTAAAGAGCATGTGCCGCGCATTTCTGCACCACCAGGAGCCCTCCGCACTGAAGGAGCCACTTAAGGAAGCCACTGAGAAGTTATTGCACGATGAGAGCACGGCTGACGCTCTGTCGTGTGCCGTACCTTTTGCCACACCCCTCCAAAGGGATAAGTATTTGCAACATTTTAGAGAACTACTCTACTCCGAAGAGGCTTGGCTGCCTGCGAATGCAAGCGGACACTTTTTCAGTGTTCTGCGTGCATTGAAGATCTCCGACGTGGATTTCTGCAACACGTACTGGTCTGGGGTTATACGGGAACTGGAGTCTTGCCCGGAGGAGCAAACGCACCTGCGGTTTCTAAGGCATTGTCAGCGATACATGAACTTTAATAACAACCTGGGAGGAACGTACCGTCACTTCGAGCTAGAACGAAAGCTTAGTCGCATGTGCATGAGTGCTGTGGAGGAGGACTTAGCAGGAAGGCTGCCGACAAAGTTTGCTCGCCTGGCAGCCTTTGTGCTGGCTTACGGACAGACTCCTCTAGCCTGGAAAAAGTTTCCCAACATTCTGCTCAGCAAGATGCTCGCTATGGCTCCTCAGCTTGGCATCCAGGATTGTTTTCTTCTCAGTCGAGGCATGCAAATAGCCTGTGAACTACGATTTCGGCAACATCTTCCTTCACTCGCTGGCATGCAGCTCTCCACAATGGACAGCATTCTCATCGGCTGTGCCGAAAGACATTTGGCGGGTGCCGAAAAAGATCCGCTGAATGCCAGTGAATTAAGCATGATTGTAAGAACACTTAGTCACCGCAAGAGTAAGTTAAAGAAAAAAGATCATTCCTATAACAGCTGTGTGATATAGATGTCCAGACAAATCTACAATTTTTGTCCTATTAGTTTTTCATTTATTTTGATTATACCTTTTTAAAAGTAACACTTGTTTACAAATTAATATTCTTGATATGCTCCCCAGCGATTAATGGCAAATTATGTTAGTGCTGGAGCCCTAGATCACAAAAATACCACTTACTTTCAAAATGTTAAGTTTCGGACTTTGTTCGAATTTTTTCTTCTATCTCGGCACATATCTACCCAATTGGGGCAGTTTTGTTTCATTTTAAAGTCAATACATCAGAGGTTAACTTTGCCGTACAGATCAATATTTTTTGAACCGGCTGCCATCACCAATCATTTTTGTTTACATGGGATAAATCTTAAATTTGGGCTCTGTCAAACGACAGAAACGGAAAAATCCGAACTTTAAAAATCCACTATTAATCACTATGGACGGCAGTCCATGTAGTGACGAAGCGCACCAGGAGAGTGTGGTCCGATCATAATAAATGATACACCTATCGAAAGGTATTGCGAAAACTAACAGGATTGCATACCAAGACTTTAAGAAAATCAATTGGCTTGGGAGAGAGAGCGGTGAAAGTGAAAATTTCGAAATTTGGAGCTGTTGGGGCCGGTGGAGATAAATGTCCCCTCGCAATGTTTTAGTTGTATTTCTTTTGAAAAATTCCATCGAATGATTGGTCATATGTCAAAATCCGACGCTCCGTTCAAAAGTTATACCCAAAATAGGATTTTCTTCGTCTTCCCAAAATGAAAATTTAAATCTGTTTGTCAGTTTGTGAGTTTGTCCAAAACATGTTTTTTAAGTTTTGAAAATTTGATATGACGTTCATCACATCGATATAAAAAACTTTTGTTCTACCACTTTTGGAAAAACTCGCTAGTTTAGCGGGAAAACAGCTATAAGTAGCTAAAATTCGGAAAGCCGTAACTTCTATACTACTAAAGCTACAGACTTGTGCTGCATCTCTTTTGAAAGGTAATTTTAAATTCTATAAAATATGAGAAAATATTAGAAAGTCTATTTAATGACAAGTGTAATAATTTTTCATCACAAATGTTGATATCAAAACTTTTGTATGTTGAAGGTGCGATCGTCACTAGTTTTTTACCTCGTTAAGAGGTGTTTTTATTTGATAAAATTTTTTACAAAAAATTTATTTCGGTAGGATTTAAACTTTAAGTTGGTACCCATTATAATTTTTCAACGGATTTATTTCGAGTTTTTAGAGCCAACTTACAAGCTCAGAGAAGCTGGGTCGAGTAAAATGACAAATTCGAATTTTGAAAACGGGAATCGTTTGACCCCTATTTGACCACTTTTGCCCACCCTTTAGTTTTTTTCGAAAATTCTTGAAAATTAAAAATTTGACTTTTTCAAATTTTTTTTGGTGGAATCGTTTGACTCCCATTTGACCACCATTGCCCACCTTTTAGAATTTTGAAAAAGTCAAAAATTTGGAAACTGTGGTAATTTTTCGTTTTTCTCAAAATGCGAAAATTTTAAAGTCGAATTTTTCAGAACTTTTTTTCGTCCAATCGTTTGACCCCAAATTGACCATCATTGCCCACCCTTTAGAATTTTGAAAAAGTCAAAACTTTAGAAATTACAACACTTTTTCGTTTTTCTCAAAATTCGAAAATTTTAAAGTCGAATTTTTCAAAACTTTTTTTTGTCCAATCGTTTGACCCCAAATTGACCATCATTGCCCACCCTTTAGAATTTTGAAAAAGTCAAAACTTTAGAAAATACAACACTATTTCGTTTTTTTTCAAAATTCGAAAATTTTAAAGTCGAATTTTTTAAAACTTTTTTTTGTCCAATCGTTTGACCCCCGATTGACCATCATTGCCCACCCTTTAGAATTTTAAAAAAGTCAAAACTTTAGAAAATACAACACTTTTTTGTTTTTCTCAAAATTCGAAAATTTTTAAGTCGAATTTTTCAAAACTTTTTTTTGTCCAATCGTTTGACCCCCAATTGACCATCATTGCCCACCCTTTAGAATTTTGAAAAAGTCAAAACTTTAGAAGATATACCACTTTTAATTTTTCACTAAGTTTCAAAAAAATTAAAAGTTGAATTTTTCAAAATTTTTTACTGATATGTCTTCGATGTGTCCACATCTTAGGGTCATACAAAAAAAGTTTTAAGTCAATCGGACAATCGTAAAAACAAATAATTTTTGATTTTAAGCGGATAAAAAAATATTTAAAGCTAAGAAATATAAAAATCTTCCCAGGGGACAGTTTCTTTCTTTTCTTAAACATAATGTAAAAGCAGAAGGGAAATTCGAATATTTGTATGCCCTTGCAGAGGGAATAATGATTTCAGGCAGAAGTTTGCAACAAAGTGAAGAAGACGTTTCCATATAGACCCCATATAACTTTGATGCTTTTAAACATATAACCTTCAACGCTTGGGAATAACATTTTTTTAATAGTTCTGAATTTTGAATTTAATTTTATAAAAATCGGACGACTATATCATAAGCTGCCATAGTAACGATCGAAAAATACATGGGACATTAAAAGGAAACAATTATAGCTTCGTTGGTTTTAATTGTATTCTCTTCTACTCTAGAATATTAATTTTTTTTGGAATTTCCGAATTTTGAATTAAATTTAACATTAATCGGACGACTATATTAAATCGGTGCCGTAGAAAGGATAGAAAAAATAGTGTCAAAATAATACGAAATTTAATATTTTTGCGATCTGTAAATTAATAGGAATGATCTGTTTCTTTCTTGTTTATAATGTATTAAATGCTTTATAATAGAAAATCTGTAGATTTTTCAATTTCAATAGAAAAGTATTAAAGCGTAGATTATACATTTTTCAACTTTTAAGCCAATGCACCCAACAGTTTAAAATTTATTTCAATTCAATCTTTTATTTCAATTTTGAATATAAAAGTTGACAAATAACTCTTTATTGTTAATTGACAATTTTTATACCCTTGTAGAGGGTATTATAATTTCAGTCAGATGTTTGCAACGCAGTGAAGGAGACGTTTCCGACCACATAAAGTATATATATTCTTGATCAGCACCAATATCCGAGTCCATCTAGCCATGTCCGTCTGTCCGTCTGTCCGTTTCTATGCGAACTAGTCTTTCAGTTTTAAAGCTATCGCGATGAAACTTTCCCGAAAGTCTTCTTTCTATTGCAGGTAGTAAATATGTCGTAGCGAGCCGGATCGGACCACTATATCTTAAGGCTCCCATAGGAATATTCAAACAAATATAAGAAAATTCATTGTAACTTTGTAGGAAGTAGGCGTTTTGATTCTTGACTACTTAAAAACAACATTTAAATAAATAGAAACGCTGAATCTGGAATCCCTGGAACTGCACCGAGTGAGCATTCTTTTATCTACAAGGGTATATAAGCTTCGGCTGGCCGAAGGTAGCTTCCCTTCTTGTTTTGAATATGTTAACTTTTACTTACGACCCCTGACTTAAAAACAAAAATTATGATTTTGACAAGACTTTGGTTTATTTGAAACACTAGTTTTAGGGAAATTGTAATTGTAAACAAAGTTCACATTTAATTAGGGGTGAGCACTGAATGTTTTATAGTTTTAATATTTTTAGTTCGTTTATTTTAAAAACTGTGTAGTTTTAAGTGCTGGGTAATCGTTTGTTACACTAGTTTACAGCCGAAATGCTCCCCAGCAATTGATGGCAAATTCTGTTAGTTTTAGACCCCTAGATCACGAAAATAGCACTAATTTTTTTTTCGATGGCACAGTTTTTTTTTAAAGATTTTTTAAAGTTTGAAATGTTAAATGTCGGACTTTTTTCGAATTTCTTCTTATATCTCGGCAGATATCCACTTGGTTGAGCCAGTTTTAGTTTTATTTTAAAGTCAATAGATCAGAGCTTAACTTTGCCATACAGATCAATACGATTGGATGAGTAATGGCAGCGCAGAAGCTCGACAAAGAGGAAAAATGTGTTTTTTGGTCGTCTGTAAGTCGGCTGTATATTTCGTAAAAACTCGAAATAAATCCGTTGAAAAATCATAATGGGTACAAACTTAAAGTTTACATCCTACCGAATAAAACAAGCAGGATATGGCCCAAATCCATGGAAAACTGGAATTATGGTGGATTTTTAAAGTTCGGATTTTTTGACTTTTTTGGGTTGACAGAGTTCAAAATTAAGATTTATCATAGGCGGCGACATGTAAACAAAAATGAGTGGTGATGGCAGCCGGGTCAAAAATAGCTAAAATAAATAATACGAAATTTAATATTTTTGCGATCTGTAAATTAATAGGAATGATCTGTTTCTTTCTTGTTTATAATGTATTAAATGCTTTATAATAGAAAATCTGTAGATTTTTCAATTTCAATAGAAAAGTATTAAAGCGTAGATTATACATTTTTCAACTTTTAAGCCAATGCACCCAACAGTTTAAAATTTATTTCAATTCAATCTTTTATTTCAATTTTGAATATAAAAGTTGACAAATAACTCTTTATTGTTAATTGACAATTTTTATACCCTTGTAGAGGGTATTATAATTTCAGTCAGATGTTTGCAACGCAGTGAAGGAGACGTTTCCGACCACATAAAGTATATATATTCTTGATCAGCACCAATATCCGAGTCCATCTAGCCATGTCCGTCTGTCCGTCTGTCCGTTTCTATGCGAACTAGTCTTTCAGTTTTAAAGCTATCGCGATGAAACTTTCCCGAAAGTCTTCTTTCTATTGCAGGTAGTAAATATGTCGTAGCGAGCCGGATCGGACCACTATATCTTAAGGCTCCCATAGGAATATTCAAACAAATATAAGAAAATTCATTGTAACTTTGTAGGAAGTAGGCGTTTTGATTCTTGACTACTTAAAAACAACATTTAAATAAATAGAAACGCTGAATCTGGAATCCCTGGAACTGCACCGAGTGAGCATTCTTTTATCTACAAGGGTATATAAGCTTCGGCTGGCCGAAGGTAGCTTCCCTTCTTGTTTTGAATATGTTAACTTTTACTTACGACCCCTGACTTAAAAACAAAAATTATGATTTTGACAAGACTTTGGTTTATTTGAAACACTAGTTTTAGGGAAATTGTAATTGTAAACAAAGTTCACATTTAATTAGGGGTGAGCACTGAATGTTTTATAGTTTTAATATTTTTAGTTCGTTTATTTTAAAAACTGTGTAGTTTTAAGTGCTGGGTAATCGTTTGTTACACTAGTTTACAGCCGAAATGCTCCCCAGCAATTGATGGCAAATTCTGTTAGTTTTAGACCCCTAGATCACGAAAATAGCACTAATTTTTTTTTCGATGGCACAGTTTTTTTTTAAAGATTTTTTAAAGTTTGAAATGTTAAATGTCGGACTTTTTTCGAATTTCTTCTTATATCTCGGCAGATATCCACTTGGTTGAGCCAGTTTTAGTTTTATTTTAAAGTCAATAGATCAGAGCTTAACTTTGCCATACAGATCAATACGATTGGATGAGTAATGGCAGCGCAGAAGCTCGACAAAGAGGAAAAATGTGTTTTTTGGTCGTCTGTAAGTCGGCTGTATATTTCGTAAAAACTCGAAATAAATCCGTTGAAAAATCATAATGGGTACAAACTTAAAGTTTACATCCTACCGAATAAAACAAGCAGGATATGGCCCAAATCCATGGAAAACTGGAATTATGGTGGATTTTTAAAGTTCGGATTTTTTGACTTTTTTGGGTTGACAGAGTTCAAAATTAAGATTTATCATAGGCGGCGACATGTAAACAAAAATGAGTGGTGATGGCAGCCGGGTCAAAAATAGCTAAATCAGATATTTAAAAGCTAGAAAATTATTAAAGTGAATTTAATTTTTGAAATTAAGGTTACTTTTTTCATAAGAATGAACTATCCAAATGGATAATACTTAGTTAAAAATACTCACAGTCATAACGCAAGCAATTTTATATTTTTAAAGGAATTTTCAGAAATTAAATTTATTTTATAATTTTCTAGCTTTTAAATTTAGCTATTTTTTGATCCGGCTGCCGTCACCACTCATTTTTGTTTACATGACGCCGCCTATGATAAATCTTAAATTTGGACTCTGTCAACCGAAAAAAGTGGAAAAATCCGAACTTTAAAAATCCACCATAAATCCAGTTTTCCATGGATTTGGGCCATATCCAGCTTGTTCTATTCGGTAGGATGTACACTTTAAGTTTGTACCCATTATGATTTTTCAACGGATTTATTTCGAGTTTTTACGATATATACAGCCGACTTACAGACGACCAAAAAACACATTTTTCATCTTTGTCAAGCTTCTGCGCTGCCATTACTCATCCAATCATATTGATCTGTATGGCAAAGTTAAGCTCTGATCTATTGACTTTAAAATAAAACTAAAACTGGCTCAACCAAGTGGATATCTGCCGAGATATAAGAAGAAATTCGAAAAAAGTCCGAAATTTAACATTTCGAACTTTAAAAAATCTTTAAAAAAAAACTGTGCCATCGAAAAAAAAATAATTGCTATTTTTGTGATCTAGGGGTCCAACACTAACAGAATTTGCCATCAATTGCTGGGGAGCACACCAAGAATATTATTTTGTAAACTAGTGTTATCATTAATATTAAGTTTTTGGGTGTGGGCAAAGGAATTTATTAAGTTTTAAGGGTGGGGCAAACAAATTTTTCGTAAGGATAAACTTATAATTAACATTATAATTATTCAATTTTTGAAAATTCTAAAGGGTGGGCAATGATGGTCAATCGGGGGTCAAACGATTGGACAAAAAAAAGTTTTGAAAAATTCGACTTTAAAATTTTCGCATTTTGAGAAAAACGAAAAATTACCACAGTTTTCAAAGTTTTGACTTTTTCAAAATTCTAAAAGGGTGGCAATGATGGTCAATCGGGGGTCAAACGATTGAACAAAAAAAAACTTTGAAAAATTCGACTTTAAAATTTTCGAATTTTGAGAAAAACGAATAAGTGTTGTATTTTCTAAAGTTTTGACTTTTTCAATGACGGACATGGCTAGATCGACTCGGCTAGTGATCCTGATCAAGAATATATATAGTTTATAGGATCGGAAACGCTTCCTTTTACCTGTTATGTACTTTTGCACGAATCTAATATACCCTTTTACTCTACGAGTAACGGGTATAACAAGAGAGAACGCTATAATCGGGTGGGTGTTCCGACTATTTAATACCCGTCGCCCAGCTAAAGGGAGTGTGAGGGAGATGGATTTTGATTGTATTTGTATCCGATTTGAAAAATGTATTCTACATTTCGATAGGTATAAATATACACAACAAAATTGCATTTATACTTCTTGGAAATCTTTAAAGGTGTGGGCGCCAGAAACATTTTAAAATCGATAGCGCTCGGCTGAAATAAACTTGCGCTGCGTAGGAAGCCCAAGAATAAGTGTGGGTAATCCCAACTTTCTAGTTTGTGCAGTTTCCGAGATCTCAGCGACAGACAGACGGAAAGACAGACAGACGGAAAGACAGACATGGCTAGTGATCCTGATCAAGAATATATATACTTTTTAGCAGAGCTTGCAAAAAACTGTCAACCGATTTTCCTGAGGCAGTTTAATCTCGACAAAACCGAAAAAAATGTTGCTCACAAACTCTCTCTCTGAGCGGCACCCCTTTTTAGTTTTGCTTGTCGGTTTCGGTCCGACCGTTCGGCTCAACCGAACAAAGCAATCGGTCTTTCAATAACCACTCGGTGAGACCCTTTTAAGTTAACAGTCACCTAAAAGGGTTTCTGAAAGACTACTGTTAAATAAAAGTCAAAACAAGAAAGGAAGCTACCTTCGGCCAGCCGAAGCTTATATACCCTTGTAGATAAAAGAATACTCACTCGGTGCAGTTCCAGGGATTCCAGATTCAGCGTTTCGATTTATTTCAATTTTGTTTTTAAGTAGTCAAGAATCAAAACGCCTACTTCCTACAAAGTTACAATGAATTTTCTTATATTTGTTTGGGAGCCTTAAGATATAGTGGTCCGATCCGGCTGGCTCCGACATATGTACTACCTGCAATAGAAAAAAAACCTTCGGGAAAGTTTCATCGCGATAGCTTTAAAACTGAGAGACTAGTTCGCATAGAAACGGACAGACGGACAGACGGACAGACGGACATGGCTAGATAGACTCGGCTATTGGTGCTGATCAAGAATATATATACATTATGTGGTCGGAAACGTCTCCTTCACTGCGTTGCAAACATCTGACTGAAATTATAATACCCTCTACAAGGGTATAAAAATGGGTTTTCTCTAGAAAGGAAAAAGTATAGGCCTGCTGTGATATGTGCATAAATTTTACATAGGAAATCAAGATAATTCTAAAATTGCATTGTACATATAAATGTATATAAAATTGTATTCTGAATTTACGTTAGCTGCTATTTTTTTGTTTGCTTCAATATATTTATTGACTATATAAGAAACTATCTTTAATAAGAAATGCCATAAAGAAACGAATTACCTTTCAAATGAGCTATACCATAAGAATAAATGAGAATTACCATAAGTCTTAAGATAAAAAATGGCTCAAAGTATTCCAACCAAGCCTATTCCTACAAAATGGATCGCGCGTTCCTTCAAATCTTTCGAAATATTTTGAATAAAACCAAATAATGTTGTGAAGATATTCTTAAATAGTTAGGAATTGATTTAAAGCTACATAAACAAAATTTGAAACTGCTAAAGCTCTACTTTTTCTTGCGCTTTAAAAGCTAGCAACTTATTTTCCCAAATGAATGTACATATCTTTATTCAGGCGCTCCCATGCGGGAAATGTTGTCAATTACAATCTGAAACGAAAAGTCTTTTTAACATTAAGAATATTTCATTGATTTCTATGGCAGCTATATGATGGGACGGTGGTAAAATTATAAGATTGACACATGTGCATAATATCAGTCAATAATTGAGTTCTGCTAAATTTTAGCTCAAACATCTAAGAGATGTACTTGTTGGAAATATAAATATAATTACCTAAATACTAACAAAATTCGCCCCAAATCTAAGAAAAATCAGTTTAGAAAATATTTTTTATGGTTAGTTTTTATAAACGGACTCTGATAGTATTCATTTCTTTAAAGGGCGAAATCACCTTAAAAAGTAAAACCTTAAATACGTAAGGGAGTATAGGGTAAGGTGACAAACGATTCGATTTTTGAATGTAACTTTTCTAAAAATCAATATTTTTTAAAAGTTTAAGGGCAGAAAGTAGCTTACATCTACTGAGCATATTTCCGTAAAAGTACGATCAGAAATTCCAACGGAGCTATATCCTACAGCGTTGTGCGTGAACCATACTTTTTTTGCACTCTTAAAAGTTGTAGGGTAATGTGACGAACGATTTGTTTTTTAATGTAACTTTTCCAAAAATCAATATTTTTTAAAAGTGTAAAAGCAGAAAGTTGCTTACATCTACTGAGCATATTTCTGTAAAAGTACGATTTGAAATTCCATCGGAGGTAAATCCCACAGCTTTTGGTGTGTGCCACTCTTCCAACTGACGTCACAACTAATATCAATACAAAACTAAAACAAAACTGCAGCATTTAATGTTATCTGGTAATATTATAGTTTTCTACACAAAATCAACGATAAATATAAAAGTCCTTGAATAAAAAAAATTGTCACCATACAATATAAAATGTTCGTCACAATACCCTATTTAATTTTATTTTCCACCCATCTTCGCTCTGGCACTACTGAAACACAAATAAATTGAATAAGTTTGCTTGTTTGCGCACCACCTTTTTAGAAAAAAAAAAAATCTCGCGAAGAAATTACGGGACTTTATATTAATATACATTGTCGACACGATAGGGGGAGACGACTACATTTATTTGGAACTTTTGTCGTGAAGTGGTTCCTATTTATTAGTACCTACTGTAATCATTCGGTCTAAGGATGTATATGCTATTATCACTTTGCAGCGCTGAAGAACACTGTTGTATACAACCAAGCCCTGCTGCAATACAAACGACTTAACTGCAATGATCTCAATTCACGGGTGGTTCGGGACATGGCATACAACTTCAACACCTCGCATTTCTGTGTACCCGAGCTTTTGGAGTCGATGTACGGTTACATCTCCGAACAGTATGAGCACATTACTGGCGACACAGTGGAGAAAGTGTTGACCTGTTCTTATAACTTAGGCTTTACGCCTGCATCTCAGGAGGCATTAGAGTATTCTTCTAGAGTGTTACTAAGGTGAGTAGAATTATACCGTAAGGCAGATGTAAAATTCAAAATTACCTTTAGAGACTTTGAGCAGATGAGTGGATTGTCTATTGTCCAGGCTTGTCTAGCACTGTGCTTCTATAAATCGATACCTGCGCAACTGATCAATCAGGTGTTTTGCGTGAAGTTCATTCAGCGAATTGAAGATGAAATTCAGTTTTGCTATTCAAAGGCAACCTATCCGGAACGGGTCCTTAACCTAGTAATGCAACTGAACAGAACTGTCTGCTTGGATTTCCCCGAAGCGAATGTACCCTGGTTTCAGCAGAACTACATTGAGGCCCAGATAAACAAAAGTAAATAAGATAGTCTTTTGATTCTAAAAATGTTCTAAATTACATAATTTTTTCAGAAACCTTGCTTTCCAGTGGGTCCACTAGCGAGGTCAAACAGCTGCTGCAGAAGCTTCTCCAGAACGACAGTAATTTCCGTTGCAACCACACAACCCCTTACGGGTATCAAATAGACTTTGTGATACATTTTGACCGGAATAGGAAGCCCATACCGGCACCTCCCGTTGAGTCTACCATGTTGGATCGCATAACCAAGTCCGCATCCATATGCGAATAACCGAATTGATTTACTTTACTCAAAGTTTTCATTTTTAGAGTGGCCATACTGTTGCTGAAACTAGACTCATTTTGCGAGAACGATCTGACTGCCTTACGGGGTCCAGAGTCTTTGAAGATGAGACATCTGGAGATGATGGGCTACAAGGTGATGCAAATTAACGAACACGACTGGAACTCAAAGTATATGGCATCAACAACAGCCAAAGCCAACTACCTCAAGTGCTTGTTACAAATTGCCCATTAGCATTGATTTCAAGCCCTCGACAATACTTGTTTTCACGTACATACATACATTTATTTTGAGTTTAATAGCTTTATCAGCGTTTTAGGTACTTTGTATAAGTATAGTAAACAAAAATCGGTGTATTGTATACTTTAGAATGCTTTTAAATGTTTCTGTTACCCGTAGGATTCTTATTGATCCGACTTGACACACCAATTGTACGCGTTGTTAAACATTATCTGCCAGGGACTCTCCGCCTGTGTGGGGGAAACCTGGAAAGAGGGTGGAACATATGGCCACTGGTACATAGCCGAGCAACGCTCTGGATGTGGCATTAAAGCCAAATGACGTCCATCAGTTGAGCAAAGACCAGCAATTCCTCGAGGACTGCCGTTCGGATTAAGTGGATAGAGTTCTGTGGGCTTGCCTTCATCATCAACATACTGCAAAGTCACCATCTCATTCGACTGCAGCTCGCCTATGAGCTTTTCTTCCCTGAATGCAAAGCGACCTTCTCCGTGAGCCACCCAGCACCCTAGTATCAGATCCTTCATGCTTTCGAGCATGATGGAGCGATTCGCTGGAATCCTAACTGTGGCCCAGCGGCACTCGAATCGCTGTGATCGGTTATGGAGGAGGGCCACATCGGGATCTACACCCACTTCGCTGCCTGGGCTTCCAACAAATCCAATAAGAGTCATTAGTTGGCAACCATTGCAAATGCCCAAAGAGAAAACATCTTGGCTGCGCTTGAAGGCCTCAAACTGTGGCAAAAGAACGGGATTGTGGAGAATGTTGGCTGCCCAGCCCTTGGCCGATCCTAAAGTGTCCGCATAGCTGAAGCCACCCGGAAAGATAAGTCCCCTGTACTGGGACACGTTTGTGGTGCCTGAAACATTGAATTGTTTAAGTTAGTTTTACCTAAAAGTGCAGGTTTGGAAATGACGGGAAATTATTCATAATTGATTTGATTAAAAGAGATATCTGAAGTTTCCGGCAAGTGCTTTTGTGCTTACCTTGCAATAGATCCGACATGGTGACATCATGCACCTCGAAGTTTGCCTTAAGCAGGCATGCCATCATCTCCCGCTCACTGTTAACACCTTCCTCCCGGAGCACTGCCACGCGAACTGGGGCGCTGGATCGCTTAAGAGTAAGCTCAGCCTGCAGATTTAAGGGACCTCTATACTTAGGCGCTTGGCGATATTCAAGGCTACTGTACTCGGCCTCAGCGCACTCCGGGTTGGTCTGAAGCTTCTCCAGCTCGTAACTAGTGCGCTCCCATTTTTGGTATACCAAACGGAGTGGCTGATCCAATAGCGCTGATGCACCGTGCTTGATTACCACTCGGGAATCAAGCCCGAAGCCCTCGGTAACGCCCAAATAAAAGTTCGGCACTCCCGCGTCAGTATAGATTGATCGAACTCGCTCTAAGTCCGTTTCCAATATTTCCACTACCCATCCACACTCCTCGGCGAAGAGAAGAGCTAGTTCGGGACGATTGAGTTTCTCGACAGCCGTATCGTAGTTATTTAGCTTTGCCAAGGGCTCTGATAGGTTTACTTGAAGGCCGCTCAGCCCGCCAATGGCCATCTCCAACAGGCAAACGATCAATCCTCCGTCGCTAACATCGTGCCCTGCCCTTAGAAGCCCATCCCCCAACAACGATTGGGTGACTGCAAATGCCTTGCCCAGCAGATCACTCCTCGTCAAGTTTGGCGTCTCATTCCCCTGCTGGGCGTAGGCCTGAGCCAGAGCCGAGCCACCCAGTCGAAGCCTGTTTTCTAGATTTATCCAGAGCAACGCAGTCTTGGAGCCAGAGCCTGGTCCCTTTAGATCGGGTGTAACCCTGAGCCGTACATCCGGACAGGGAGCGTAGGTGGAGATGACAAGAGTACCCGGGGATTTTATTGTATCGCCTTCCACCTTGGCAGCCATGGACAGAGAGTCTTTTCCCCCGTCGACGGCGATGTGTAGCTCCTCGAGAATGTGGCACAGCTCCTTGCAGGCGTCGTACATTCTCGCTCCCTCCCCGGGAAGCTTTGCTGCCCACATCCAGTTACCTGAGCACTTGACGTCCGGCAGTTCGCTAATCTTTACAAAGACGAGGTTACTCACCGCTTCAGCGACACACATCCTGGCCATTGCGCCAGGATCAAGCAATCCCTTGAGCGGCTGGGTACCAATTGAGGTGGCAATGCCGGCATGGCTAAAGTGGGAGACGGTAGTCAACGCGTAGTCCGAAAGTGGAGCTTGCAGCGGGCCCACACACTGTTGTTGCGCGATCAACCCGCCAACACAGCGATCCACCTTGTTAGTAAGAAAGCGCTTGCTGCCCACTGCGACTAAACTAAGAACTCTCTCCAAAGCCTCGTCCAGGCACAAGTCTTTCGGTAGACACAAGGCCCTTAGCGGCGTCAGTTCGCGTCTCAAGTCGTATGTTCTCTTTGGCATATCACCCAAAACATACTTGAGCTCCAAATCGAAGGGCAACATTGTGCTCCGATCAAATTCGTTCAACGCCTGCTCAAAATCCTTTGGCGCAGCCGTCTCTAGCAGCGTTACGCGACCATCTCCCGTCACCACTCCAACGAAGCTAATAGGACAGCGCTCGCGCCGGCAGATCTTCTCCAGTAGCTCACGGTGCTCTGCCTTGCACAGAATGGCGTTGTTCTCCTGGTACTCGGCACCCCACAACTCAAGGGCAGTAATTGTGGGATCGCCTAGTTGGAACTCCTTGGAAAAAATAATGGCTCCGGCGAAGCCTGGTTCAACCAGTTCTTTGAGGACATTGCCATTGCCGCCAGCTCCCTGGTCGTGGATGGCTAGTATAGGATTTTGGTCGCCCATTTCCAGACAGGCGCGCACGACCCGATTTAACTTGTTCTCCATTTCGGCGTCTCCCCGCTGTACGGCATTAAAGTCCAGCTCAGCATCTCCTGATCCTTGTACTTCAACGGAGCTTGCGGCGCCGCCACCCACTCCTATCCTGTACACTGGACCGCCGATTTTGGCCAACAACTGACCACGAGCCGGTGGCAACTTCTCCCGCATTGACGCGGGCATGGTGCCAAGGCCACCGCTGAACATGATCGGTTTTACATACTCATTACGCTGACTGGCATCGGCTGAACTATTTAATCCATAGGAAAGTGCGAATCCGGAGATCACAGGTTCGCCAAACTTGTTCCCGTAGTCTGAGGCGCCATTGCTCGCCTCTATAAGCACCTGAAGTGGTGGCGCAAACGTCGCTGGATATTTATAGTCCGATGGCTCGTACGGCTGTTTATATCCTGTGTAAAATAAGAAAAAATTGAAGTACGGTATTTAAAATTACTAAGAATTCACTGGGTTCTAACTTAAAATGTCAAAAATCTAAACGCCTACTTTCTACAAAGTTGCAATGGTTTTTCTATTATTTTTTTGATAATTCCTGTGGGAGATATAGTGGTCCGATCCGGCTCGTTCCGACATGTGTACTACCTGTAATAGAAAGAAGACTTTTGGGAAAGTTTCATCGCGATAGCTTTAAGGCTTTAAGGCTCCACCGATTTTCTTTTTCGATTTTTTGTTTAAGTACTTTAAATGTATTAATGTATGTATCTGTGGAATTGGGTTATTTCATTGAAAAATTCTTTTAGAACTTGCGCTACATACACGGTTGCCAGATTTGGCTCAAAAGAGACAAATCATTAAAACAATTTGCAGAAAGTTGATTGCTGCAAATCAAAAAATATTGCTGCAAGTTTTTTGTTTACAGGAAAATGGGGTAATACTCTAGTTTTCAGTCCTCACCCCCGAAAAAATTATCCTCGCAGTTCGTCGATTCTTAGGAATTTACATGAAGAAATAAAGGTGCGGTTATCCATGGCTTTCTTATAATCGAATTTCAAAGTTGCGTGATTTGCTAAAAAAAAAAAACTTTACCTTTCACCCGGTTGCGTCTCCGTTAATTGCGGTCCGATCACAACGAGCCATAGCTTTTCAAAAAGCTATTGCATTTATCTATTTATAGTGTCTGTTACCACTTTTTTGGTCTATCGGGTTTCGAGATCTGTTAGGTTTTATACAAGAAGTACAGGGAAATCTGGATTTTTGCGAGTATCTTAAGAACGGTTCTTTGGAACGTTTGTTTAATTTGTTCAGAGTGATTAGCGACTCAAAACTAAACAAAAACAAATGGTTTCTGCCGTATGCTAGTGTAATTTAAACGAAACCATAGTCGTTGAATTGCATTAAATATATATGTTAAATACATTTCTCGATAGTGTTGTGTTGTTTAGTTCACTTATGTAGTGCATAAAGCGTTCGATTTTTTCTCACCTGGAATGTGAAGAGCTCCCACGCAGTACCCGGCGGTGCCAGCTATCGGAATGCCTCCTCTCCCCACGCCCTGAACATCACGCAGGCGTCCCCCCGTGCCGGTAGTGGCCCCGCTGAACGGCGCCACTGCCGTAGGCATGTTATGGGTCTCCGCCGTAAAAATCAGGTCAGACTGCACGCTCTTCAAGTGCACTGGACCGGAAGCCACTACGGATGACGGAACTATGGCCTTGTGCAGGAATCCCACCATGGCGCTGCTGTTGTCGCTGAACTTAATGGTGTTGTTGGGGTTCGTGTGAGTCTGAGTGTCCATTATCATTCGAATCAGTGACTTTGGCTGCTCTACACCATCAATCACCATGCGTCCCCGGAAAAACCAATGGCGCGAGTGCTCGCTGTTGCTCTGAGCGCAGTCGAAAAGCTCCACAGTAGTGGGATTGCGTTTCAGTTCCTTGGAGAACAAATCGTGGTAGTAGTCCAGATCGAAGTCGTTGAAAGCTAGGCCCAGCTTTTGATTTATCAGCTCCAGCGCTTTACGTCCCTCCTCCAAGACGGGCACATAACACCAGTTGGCCTGTTGTTCTGGGAGCTGCTCATCAAAGGTCGCCTTGGGGGTGTTCTCCTCGGTGTACAGGCACTGGGTCATGCGGTCGCCTAGCAGAAAAACGAATTTGGTCGCCTCCGGCACCTGCGGGCCTTCGCGAAAGGTCAGCAGATAACGAGTTGAGGCTTCTACCCGTCGGACCTCGGAATACCCGAGGTTGTGGAATATATTCACGCAATTCGTGGAGTAGGGCGTAGAGAAGTTAAAGCGCGGTCCAATCTCCAGGAGCAACTGCGCCTGACCCCCCGACTGGAGAGCAGGCTGTCTGGCCAAGCTCTGGCCACTGCTCAGTGGTTGCTTTACCAGCCAGACCAAGAGCTCGTCCAGGGCCAGAGGGTGTTCTGCCTGAGTGCTGTACTCCAGATGGTAGCATCGCTCCATGCGCACAGACACCACGCCGGCGTCTTCCTCTTGCAGTCGCCGCAGGACACTCTGCTCCTCAGCAGGTGAGTGGGCCTGCACATCATAAAGGCGAAGGATGACCATGTCGTTGGGCTGTAAGAAACGAAACGCTGATTGAGTAAAGACAGTGCGCTCTCCTTGCTCGTCGAATCAATAATGGTCTATGGAAGCCGTTGACGACTAGTGGGCCGTGCCCACGCTGAGGGTTATCAACTGGCGACACCTATACCGCAGCCGCGGATCAGGTTACAGCCGATCGATTGAAGTCGCATGCAGCAATCATTGCACTGCCGTCACAACTTGTTTTTGTTTTCTCCAGGCTGGGAGTCTGCTGATAAGCTAGCGTAAACATATTTTCCATCACGACACGAACGGCCATTTCCATAGCTGAATGGAACTAAGGAATTTAAGGAGATTAATTGAGAGCAAGTACCCCAAATCGAAGCACAATAACACTGAGCTGAGCACACGTGCGTTAAAGCGGCAAACTGCGATCGTTTTAAGGCTTATTCCCCTTCCCCGGCCTTAATCTCACCACGAATTCTGCCAGTGTTGGCTAACGCCGGGACCCGACCCAAAAATTCAAATAAACCCGCCTGGTAATCAGACAGGAAATTTAAATCGTTGCTATATTTTAAGCTAAATTTGGTTAACAGGGGTTAGGGGTTGGCCAACAGTGTTTTAGGCCTATGGGCATTAAACTGAGTTCATATAGACGCACATATGTACAATGTACATATGTACAGTAGGGTGGACTTTTTTAGGGTCAACTGAGCTCAGCATCTTGAATGATAGGTTTCTGTGTCCAAAAAATTTATGCGAAAACCGAAAAATCATCGTTTAAGCGGTGCGCAATGGCCCTAAAGTTTTAAAAGTTTTAAAGGTATTTACACCATTCCATTTCTTGTCAGATTTTAACATGTCAACTTTTTGGTTTCGCTCGAATAAAAGAGTCAAGTAGAAATTTATTTCATGAAAATTAACAGTTGGACGTAGCCTAGCCTGTAGAGCTTCTGTCTCCCGACAAAAAGGACCGAGTTATTATACCCTTGCAGAGGGTATTATGATTTCAGTCGGAAGTTTGCAACGCAGTGAAGGAGACGTTTCCGACCCCATAAAGTATATATATTCTTGATCAGCATCACTAGACGAGTCGATCTAGCCATGTCCGTCTGTCCGTCCGTCCTTCTGTCCGTCTGTCCGTCCGTTTCTACGCAAACTAGTCTCTCAGTTTTCAAGCTATCGGGATAAAACTTTCCCAAAAGTCTTCCTTCTATTGCAGGTAATATATAAGTCGGAACGAGCCGGATCGGACAACTATATCATATAGCTCTCATAGGAACAATCGGGAAAAAAAAATTTAAAAAAATTATATCTTGGGTGTTTTTGAACCTATAACATCCTACTTTTGGAAATGTAATTTTTTATCTAATTCTGAATTTCGAATAAAATTTTTTCAAAATCGGACGACTATATCATATAGCTGCCATAGGAACGATCGGAAAATTAATGGGAATATAATAGGAAATAAATTATTGCTTCGTTGGTTTTTATTGTATTCTCTTCTACTCTAGGATATAACTCTTTTCAAATATTTTCGAATTTCGATTTTAATTTTATCAAAATTGAACTACTATATCATATAGCTGCCATTGAAACGAAAGCAAAATTAACATTTTTGCGATTTGTAAATTAATAGGAATTATCTGCAAGGGTATATAAGATTCGGCTGGCCGAAGCTAGCTTCCTTTCTTGTTTTTCGTTATTATTGTTATTATTGTTAGTTTTAAGTTGAATTTTATCACCGACTTCGGCCCTTTTTAAATTGCTCGGGAAAGTGATTAAGATACTTTTTAAAATACTGTCAAAGTATAAAATTAAGTCTACTGCATCTAGATGAATCTGAAAAATGCGTAATAAACTTTAAAGACGTTGCGCACCGGCTAAAACGAATTTTTTTTTAATTATTCTTTCTTTTATGGATTAAGGATACAAAAAAGCCATATATGAAGGGGTGAGAGCATGGCCTTAGAAATTTCATACAAAATAAGTCCACCCTAATGTACAGTGATGAACTTAATTCTTGGCACACTTGGCATCTTGGATTTTAGGTTCCATTTTCTCCGACTAATATATGAATAAACGAGGACGGAAGCTAACTTCGGCAAGCCGAAGTTTTAATACCCTTGCAGATTTTACGAATTAAAACTTGACTAGACTAGCAACATGAATTAATAAACAACAAAATATTTTATAATTGAAAAAATAAAATTTTAAAATTTTTCACCCTATTGTTCCTATGAGAGCTATAGGATATAGACGCCCGATCGGCACGCGCGTTTACCTTAATGAAGGTACGCACAAAAAAATACGATTTGGAAAGTTTCATGGGAATAGCTAATATTTTGCGCGAAATATCCTGAAAAACGTCAAATTTTGACCTATTTCACCCTATTGTTCCTATGGGAGCTATAAGATATAGACGTCCGATCGGCGCGCGCTTTTACCCTGATCAAGGTACGCACAAAATAATACGATTTGGAAAATTTCATGGGAATAGCTTATATTTTGCGCGAAATATCCTGAAAAACGTCAAATTTTGACCGATTTCACCCTATTGTTCCTATGGGAGCTATAAGATATAGACGTCCGATCGGCACGCGCTTTTACCCTGATCAAGGTATGCGTAAAAGCATAAGATTCATGTCAAAAGCTCTTACACTGAGCGAAATATCTTCATTTTGTGAAAGCTATATCCGATTGTTCCTATGGGAGCTATAGGATATAGACGTCCGATCGGGTCGGCTTTCAAACTTGATCTGCGTACACATGTTTTAGGACGACTGTGAAAATTTCAAGGCGCTAGCTTTTAAACTGAGCTCGCAAACGGTATTGAAACAGACGGACAGACGGACATAGCTATATCGACTCCCCTATTGATCCTGATCAAGAATATATATACTTTATGGGGTCGGAAACGTCTCCTTCACTGCGTTAAAAACTTCTGACCAAAATTATAATACCCTCTGCAAGGGTATACAAATTAAACAAAATTTGTTTATATAAAGGCCACATTTTACTGTTCAAATAATTTGGTTTTATATTTATATATCTTAAGACTAATTTTTATACCCGTTACTCGCAGAGTGAAAGGGTATATTGTATTCGTGCAAAAGTATGTAACAGCTAGAAGGAAGCGTTTCCGACCCCATAAAGTATATAATTCTTCATCAGGATCACTAGCCGAGTCAATCTAGCCATGTCCGTCTGTCCGTCTGTCCGTCCGTCTGTCTGTCTGTCTGTCCGTATGAACGCTGAGATTTCGGAAACTATAAAAGCTAGAAGATTGGCATTTCGCATGCAGATTCTAGGAGCTCCTCCTCCTGCAAAAGTTGGTAATACTCTAGTTTACGGTCCTCACCCCCAAAATTCGCGAAAAAATTATCCTCGACGGACCGCGGATTCTTAAGAATTTACATGAAGAAATATAGGCGCGGACTGTCATGGTTCTCTTGTAATCGAATTTCAAAGTTACGTGTTTTGCTATAAAAATAAAGTATCCTTTTCTATGATTTTGAGTAGTTTGCTATAAAAAAAATTAAGGGCTTTTCATCCCTTGTCAAAATAATAGGCGTTCACAAAAATTCGACCAAAATCTGAAATTGTTTTTATAGGGGGCGCGCGATTTTTTAAAAAATATTTTAAAGAGCATAACACATGTGGAATGGGCATTCTGGCGTTTTATTTTTACACAGGCTGTTCGAACTCATTGCAATTCTAAGATTTGGCGGTCATTCTACTGCCAGACCCACACTACATTTACATACACACATATGCATGTATATATGAAGTAAAAGTATACAATTGATCTTGAAACTGACTGGTTGCAGACAACTTTTTAGTTTAATTGCTTTCTCGTTCTTCCATTTCTGCGGCGGCTTACAAAGCTTACATTGACTATGTACTTTATGAATATTGATTTGCACAAATAGGTGCTAGCATTAGCGTGAGTTTCTTCAAATTCTGCCAGATAGGGGAAATTCTTATCGGCCGACAGCCACCAGCCGTGACTGATAGCCGGGGTCGGTCAAAAGAGAGTTGGTATAAAATATATTTAATGGCTTGAGAAAAGAAGTAATTGTTGATGTCTCAGGCGTTGCTAGAAGTCCATCTCGCCATCGGTTCTTTGTTGTACTATAATGGCGACTGGGCGCCATCTAAAATAATTCACTACTGCCTGGTCGCCACCTATGTTATGTGCATCGCCTTCGCCGCCTTAGCAGCCTGCGCGCTGATCTCGTCCATACTTTTCCGGGCGCTCTCCGTCACCTCGTCGATGGAGCGCCTTGTACTGTGTAACAGTTCGTCTGTGCCGCGGGCGATGCCCTTGACTTCCGTGTTAATCAGCCCAATCACCCACTCTAGGCCCTGCCGACCCTTGCCCGCGTTGGTGCTGATTGTCGAGGTGAGCAGGTCCTCCATATAGTGGGACAGCGGAACGCCGAAGACGGTCACTGTGGCCTCCTGCTTGAGCAGCGTCTTGCCGGCGTCCGATGGATGCGGCTCGTAGTAGAGCACTTCGTCGACGCTGATATTGCGGCAGAATGTGAGGTTGTTCGTCTTAAGCACCATCTGCTTACGCTCCGGGTCCACCGTGGAGCGCTCGCTGGCGAAGCATGTCTTGGCCGTGCCGATCAGCGCGTGCGTCCACTTGGGGAAATACCACTTGGACTGCACCAGCCGGTGTGTGTGCAGCACTCCATCCACCACCCGGCGCTCGACCACGTCCGTGCCAATAATGGAAGGAGTCATCGGGTTGGGATACTTGCGCCACGCCGCCTGCGTGACCGTCTCCCACGGGTGGTTGAATATGTGCTCCGACGTCCAGATTTTCATTATGCAAGCGCCGTTGTCGTCACCTTCGGGAGGGATGTGTATCCTTAATTGGCAAACGAGCTGTCGGCTGAGCTGAGCCTGCAGGGGCAGACGTAACGGGAGAGAGCGTTAGGTCGAGTTTACGGTTCGAATTTGGACGGCAAAATCTGAATTATTAAATATTTGGGAGAAAAGTTACGAGAGCTGACCTTTACTCGTGTTCCGTGCTGCTAGAGATGAGACTGTCTCCGATAGACGGTGCTATCGATGGTGTGGGTGTCGTTGTGCAGATAACGAAAGTCACCCTGTGCTCGATAACTAATTTATTAATGCTTATAAACAATTTAACAGCTAGTTCTTAACTCGATTTACTCTCCTATTGCATTGGCAGCCGTCTTACTCCGCGCCAAAGGTCCGCATGTACTTTTCGTAGGGGCGCTGGTCCAGTCGCTGCAAGCGCGTCTGAAGGAATTCGCGGAACTTGCGCATTACGCTGGCGTCGGCCCTGATTAGGATTCTTTCCTCGTCCATAATCTCGCCCAGCAGCTCACCGCTGTCAGCCTCCGGCCGCCGTCCCAACGACCGCTCTAGACGAGTTCTGATCTGATTGACAATCTTCTCGCTCTCGTAGTCCATTATTTTGGCCAGAGCCTTGGCCGGCGTGCGTCGTGGATTGCGTGACTCGGAGACGGGATCGGCGACCAGATCCGCCTCCTCCTCCTGATCCTGTACTGCTACTGCTCGACTGATTGACTCTTGATCCGGAGACTCTGCCTGCTCAATGAACGCAGTCAGCGAAGGCTCGTCAGGATGCAATTCGCTATGCGTAGAGTTGTTCTGAAAGTTGGTCAGGTGGAAAGTACCGTTCGTGTCGTAGAACTTGTATCCCAGCATCTCCAGAGCTATTTCCGTGAGTAAGTACGACATTTGGCAGGATTAACAATCACTCAGAATTAATTGGAAACAAAACAATATCTGGTTTATAGGTAGCAGATGCCGAAACCATCCAGCGATAACGATAAGCAACCTACCTAACTAAAAGCTTATTCACACTATGTGGGGTAACCTAACCCGATTACTAAAAAGGTGTTCACACTGGGTTAACTTTATTTATGGGGTTTTGGCAGCTGTTCCTTGATAGGATAGGTAGGGTATTCGTTTGTGTGTGTGTCAACTGTGTTTGTATATTTCACCGTTACCGATAAGAAAAACAGAAAAGAGAAAACAAAAAAACTACAAATCTATGATGACTATATATACAATATTCATTCTTTCAAGGCAGAAATGAGTTTCGGAAATTCAACAGCCTCAAATTGGCTATGGAATTTTCAACAATTCAGCAATTAATAATGTCCGAAAATGTCCCAGTTAGTCCGCCATCCAATTTTGACGGGGTCTTTTATGCGATAGTTAGGCGACGTTTTTTTTTCGGTGTAACTCTGATTTCTTCCTCTTGACTATGGAAAATGGAACCATGACTGCGAAAACAAATCAAATCGATGGCGGAAAAAAATTAAATAATGCTTCAGCTCATTTTTCTTTTAGTTTTTTTTTAATTATTTGTAGTTTGTTATGAGCGTAAAAGCGTTCGCAAGCAGGTTGCTATGTGTTGGCCAAAATGTAAGCTGTTGTGCGTACGAAAACATCAATGTTTACAGCAAAGTGTCAGAATATGTTCTGCACTTCGTAAATATACATAACTAATATTAATCAAAAGTGTTTTTTGTACTCCTATACAGTTCCAAAGTTGCTATAAATTACCAAAAACAGCACAAATTTGGTTTTGTTTACAAACTTTTCATATTAATATTGGCTAGGCAGAGGCGTAGTAAGAGCGGAGTGTGGGGTACGGGAGGTTAGGATCTCCCCCCGTCAGCAAAATGTATACATACTCTTTATAGGATATGTTATAAATGTTCAGATATGTTTTTTAACTGTTATCTTAATCTATTTATTGTATTACTCTACAAAAGGATTAGGAGAGCGCAATTTTACGAGAGTTTTCCCGAGTTGAAATCCCCCTTGAGCTGAGCAACTGCTCTTCAGTCAGCTGTTATTGGATGGTGGATGGAGCTCTGTGGGAACACGAGTTTCACATGTGTCAAAAATCCCAACCGTTTCACACGGATGGGAAGGGGCTGTAACAGTTTGTACGGTAATCTGATTTTTGGAGTTGCTGATCGTTCAAATATCGATAACCAGAGTACGATATGAGAGCTCCGCACTGACCAACAGCTGTTCTGGCGTCGATTCTGGCTTTACAATTTTACCTGCTCATAACAATAATAAACAAAAGAAGCAGTCGGTGGGCCTATATTTACTCCAAATGCAACCCAAGCAAGTCCAGCAATGAAAATCAACGAGAAGAACTTGTACGTCTTCGCAAGAACTCCGCCGTTCGACATGGAAGGTATATATTTCTCTGTATTAAGCCCTTTTTTCTCGTCTATTAATAATCATAATCTATTAATCACCGAAACGCCTGGTAGGCTTTCTCAACAAACGGGGCGAGGTCAACAAGGCCTTCCAGAGACGCTATTTCGTGCTGAAGGGCAACCTGCTTTTCTACTTCGAGTCGCGGGTGGATAAGGAGCCTCTGGGGCTCATCATAGTCGAGGGATGCACTATTGAACTGTCGAACGAGGTGGACAACTACTGCTTTGAAATAGCCTTTAACGGCAACCGCACCTACATCCTCTCCGCAGACAACCAGGAGAGCATGGAAACGTGGATGAAGGCACTCACGTGCGCCGGCTATGAATACAAGCGCATCATCCTAGCCGAGCTAAAGCGGCAGCTGCACGAGATGGAGGACTCGAGAAACAGTGAGCCAGATTTTTGGGTCAACCAAAGAACCCGATTTCCTAATCTTATACGTTCTTTAATCTACAGAAATGCTTGGCAATGTCATTGATGGGCCGCAAAGTGCCTCGGAGGGAGCGAGGCCCAGGCCTCCGCCCAGGCGGACGAATCCCTTCAACAGACCAGCACCTCCTCCACCGGACAGCTCGTTAAGGGGCGGTGTGGTCATGTCGCCCCTGCCATTTATCAACGGATATTTCGGCTCCAGTAATGCCCGCTTGCAGCAGGAGAAATTGATGGGCAAGCAAGGTTTGTAAAAGGATTCTCTAAAAAATAGTATTCTTTGGGAACGAATGTTTGCAGTAGAGAATGTTTGCAGTACACAAACAACAGAGTAAAACGATATATTGCATATTGAAAAGTATCTAACAGGTAGAACGAAACGTATAAAGTATATACATATACTAGCAATACCCGAAGCGACGTTGTCCGCTACTATTGGCAAAGCATTTATTGCTGATTTTTTCGTATATTCAAATTAATATCAGAGTAAAATCCCGCCTAACCTTAGCTAAACAGTAAACCCACCTACAACGCACTAATATTCTATCCATATTCTTCTAACCATAACCATAACATCTTACCTTAACAACGTATTAACCCTAATATTACCTCACCTTAACTCCACCTATTTTATTCTAACCCTTGGCACACTTTTTTAGCACCTTAATGCTGTTCTCACTATTTCCTCGTCTTGACCCACATTAACACCAGGTTTTCCTCTTCTTAGCTAACCTAACTTTTGTCTCACCTGAAAAAAATTTTTTTTTAGTAAAACTTGTTTGTCACCTTGACCCACCTTATCCTCACTAAAGTCCAAACGAACTTTCTCACCCTCACCCTTCTCTTACATTACTTTTACCCTATTCAATCTAATACCTCCGTAATCGCAACTTAACCCAGCACTAACCTCACCTTATTCCCACCTTAACTCCACCGTTCTGGTAGCCTAATTATATAATTTTGGTTAGCTAAGCGAATGCAGAGAAAAATTCGTACTCTTTTTTACCGTTTATTTCGAACAGATCTAACCCCCAAAAACCTTAAAAACATAAAAAATAATATATAAAAACAAGAACAAGAACGTTTCGTTCTATGTTGATTTTACATTGTTTTTTTTTGTGTGTAGGTTTTCAGTTTCATTTTGCTTATGACGACCGTGAAAAGGACCCATGTAACTTTTTAATTGTGAAAAGCAAAAAAGACGGTTGACCATTTTTGAAGATATAACCGAAAAAGCCAAAAAAACATAGTTATGTTTTTCTTGAATTTTTTTTCATCCTGCCCTGAGTATTTTACTAGTTTAAAAATTGTCACTAAAATAAGATCATTTTGTTGTACTGTTTTTTCATATTGTTTATACAGTGTTACAGTTATATACAGTTATTTGAACAGAATAGCTGAAAAACAGCTTATTAAAGTACCACTAGCTGTTTTCCCCGAAAGCAACGTGAGTCTACCGTTTGTCAAAGCTAGAGATAAGAGCAGTATACTCGCAGCCCAATCCAAGCCTCTATTGTCTTCTGCTCGCAACTCATCGCGCTTAGTCAGAAAAATGCCTTTTGGCGACATTCTCAGCATACTCTGTTGCATATTTCCAGAACCAGGCTACAGGCATTTTCTTCTTGCAGATGCTAACGGAAACGGAAGTCCGAGTGGAACGCCCAGGGCGCAGCGCCGCCCCACACCCGTTCCTCCAGTCGCCAATAGCGTTTTCTACCCCGACGCACGGAGTCTTGCAGGGTTAAACAACAACCACAGCGCTATCAGCAGTGCTGAGCGACAGCGAAGACGTGTTAGAGCGGTGGAGGATTTTGCCCGCAACCATGAACGCTTCCGAGAGGAACTGATGCCTGACGTTTCCGCATATCGCGAACGCCAAGGACAGCCCCTCATACAGTTGTGATGTAGGAGCGGGCTGCAATAATAAGCCAATGTATTATCCGTTTTGTGCTAAATCAAATCACGTTTTAAATAAACTGCTTAATTTCAATAGGTATGTAAAATATTCGTGAATGAATTAAATGTGTTGCTCTCGTCTAAATATTTTTCACTCGAACATATTTCTCCACCTCTTAAAACTGGCTTAGTTTGTTTGCAAGCCCTTTAAAATTAAATATATTTAAATCGGTTGCCCATATCCTAAAATAGTGATAATAATAAATTAGACTAGAGCAACATATTTATTTATTTCACAAATAACTTACGAATAACTAGAGGCAAATTCTCAAAACTAAATGTTCTGGAAAAGTCGAATATGGAGAAAGTGCAATGCTAACTTGATATCAAGTTATCAGAGCATCCAATAACTTAAAAAAAAAACAAGAGAGAACGCTATAGTCGGGTTGGTGTCCTGACTATCTATACCCGCCACTCAGCTAAAGAGAGTGCGAGGAATATTTTTTTGATCACGCATAACTTTTTAATGAATGGTCCGATATGAAAAATGTCTTCTACATTTTAATAGGTATAAATATACACAACAAAATTTAAAATCGTTAGTGGGCGATTGTGGGCGTTAGAGGGGGCGTGGCGCTCGGGTGAAATAAACTTGTGCTGCGGAGGAAGCCCAAGAATATGTGTGGAAAATCTCAACCTTCTAGCTTTTGTAGTTTCCGAGATCTCAGCGTTCATACGGACGGACAGACAAACATACGGACAGACGGACATGGCTAGATCGACTCGGCTAGTGACCCTAGTTATGGGGTCGGAAACGCTTCCTTCCAGCTGTTACAGCAGCAAGAAGACCTCAAAGTTCGAAAAATGATGAACGGAATTATGGTTTGATTCGATGTTAAAGTTTATTAAAAGATACACTCTTTATATTTGGAACCCCATAATTAGAATAATTTTATGATTTTTATTAAGGGAGAAACAAATTTTAGAAAACATAGTCAAAAAACATAAAAGCATACAGCTGCGGTCAAAATAGTAGTAGTATTGCCTCCCTGTGTTTTTAAAGGTTTGTTGTTGTAATTTTTCTTCTCCTGGTAATATTGTATTGTTTATAATTGTACTAATAGACTAATTGGATAAGAAAAGTGACAACAACAATCCTTTAAAAACACAGGGCGGCAATACTACTACTATTTTGACCGCAGCTGTATGCTTTTATGTTTTTTGACTATGTTTTCTAAAATTTGTTTCTGGGGTTTGGGGTTCAAAAGATAAAGAGTGTATCTCTTAAAAAAATGTAACATCGAATCAAACCATGAATCCGTTTGCCTCTGAGAGCTCCGGAAAGTTGGCCAATTTTAGCATTTTTCGAACTTTGAGGTCTTTTTGCTAAGAATCCTTGCGTTGGGGAACTTTTTGGAAAACGCAGTTTAACTTGGGAATTCGCAACGAATCCAAAAATATATATATATATAAAATATATATATAAAAAGTGCCTAAAAATCGAAAATTTGAAACTTTGACCACGGATTTCTCAAAACTTTGACGTGATGTAAAGTTTCCAAGTATGAGGTAGTAATCTACAGCTAAAATTCTTTCAGGTTTTGTTGCGTTTATTCTTGGGTCAAGAAAAAGTCTTGATTTTGTCGACCTGTGTAATTAACGTCAAATTATATTTTCAGAGATCACCAGGGTGTCGACGCTTCAGCCTTCTTCTTGTGGATGGTTTTGACAAGGATGCAGCTAGCTGGTTAATGTGAGCTAGTAGACGGTCATTGCAGCGGCTTGGGTGCATGTTTATTTGCTCTTGACATACCACGGGGCATTTGTTGTCCGAATTTTCGTTAGGGAACTTAGTGCTATCGATCCGGATGCTGATCGAGGCTTCGAGCTGTGGAAATGCACTCGCGGGCTTAAACGGCAGCCTCTCCAGAAGTTTTCCTTGCTTTGATCGTACGGTACTTGGGCAAATAGAGATGATGAAATAACTAAAAAATTTGCTGATTCTTTGGAAGAAAGATTTAAGCTTTTTGAATTGGTCACAGATGAAGAGACTGATGTTACAGAAGCTTTTTATGATGTTCCCTCTGGTGCTGCTTCTTAAATTTCGCCTATTGATGAAAAAAGCCCCTGGCCATGACAGCATTGACGGAAAAGTAGCTAAAGCTCTGCCAGTAGCATCTATTTCGATTCTTACGCGTATCTTGAATGCTATGATTGTTCTTTCATATTATCCGGAGCAGTGGAAGCATGCGAATGTTGTTATGATGCCCAAGAAAGGCGTCTCTCCCCGCTGTGCAGATTCTTTTAGGCCTATTAAGCCTATTGCCAAAATCAGGTTTTTTGCCTCCGATGGGAATCGAACCGGGGCCGCAACCATTGGAGTCGAGCACTCTAACCACTAGGCCACAGAAAAATGATTTTTGTAGAGGAAAATTTATAGACTTGAAATCAACATTTAAAAAAAAAAAATAAACATCATCTGCAAAAGTGGAATTTGAACTCACGATCCAGAGATAATCCGACTCTAACCACCCTAAGTCCAGAAAAATAGTTGACATACAATTTATAATTGTATTTGTAAAACAACAAAATATATGAAGGAAAAAAATAGTTGAGTTACGATATTAATTGTGGCGTTACTATTTAATGTCCCAAAAAATAAAGCAAACAAATACACGCAAACAAATAAGATAGTTTTGCTACGATTTTAATTGAGACGATACTATTAATTTGCCGAATGAATAAAACAACAAAATACATGCAAGTTTTGTAAATAGGTTTTCTACTGTTTTAATTGTTAAATACTATTCAATGACGCAAAAAAAAAAACAACAAAATACATGAAAAATTCAAATAATTTCGAAATACTATTTTTCTATGTTGATTTTACACAGTTCTTTTTTGTGTGTGCAGGTATATCCCGGGACCATACAACTTTAAACGCGTTTTTCTCGAAACCACTTTTTTTGAGACTGCCTTGAACAAATCTTAACCGATCGATCTGAAATTTTGACAGTATATTTAAAATACCTTTATCTATCGACACACAGCATTTTTATACCCGTTACTCGTAGAATAAAGGGTATATTGTATTCGTGCAAAAGTATGTAACAGCTAGAAGGAAGCGTTTCCGACCCCATAAAGTATATATATTCTTGATCAGGGGCACTAGCCGAGTCGATCTAGCCATGTCCGTCTGTCCGTCCGTATGAACGCTGAGATCTCAGAAACTACACAAGCTAGAAGGTTGAGATTTCCCACACATATTCTTTGGCTTCCTACGCAGCGCAAGTTTATTTTAGTCGAGCGCCACGCCCCCTCTAACGCCCACAATCGCCCACTAACGTTTTTATAATGGGTCCTGCGCCCACATCTTTAAAGATTTCCTAGAAGTATAAATGCAATTTTGTTGTGTATATTTATACCTATCGAAATGTAGAAGACATTTTTCAAATCGGACCATTCATTAAAAAGTTATACGCAATCAAAATTTATATATCTATCTCCCTCGCACTCCCTTTAACTGAGTTACGATTATTAGTCGGGACACCAACCCGAGCACAGCGTTCGCACTCCCTTTAGCTGAGTGACGGGTATTAGATAGTCGGGACACCAACCCGACTATAGCGTTCTCTTTTGTTTATATTGCTTCCTTTTTTTATCAACAATTTTAACTTTTATTCAATCACTCACCAAAAAATCAATATATCGCAAAAATCCTACGTGTGTCGATAGCTGTTGATATATAGAAACGAACCAAACTTGATTTTTTGTTCTACATCAAAAATTAAGGACGTTAGCTGTCCGGCCATGGACCCCTTTAACGAAAAAGGGTCTAGGGGCTGTCCATATATTACGTAATCACCTAGGGGGGGGAGGGGGTCATTGAAATGATTATGTTCGATTACATGGGGAGGGGGGGGTCGTGCACAATGATTACGTAATCATTTTATATAAATTTTTTTATTTAAAGAATTTATTTAAAAACTTTTTTCCTTTAATTATATCTACAAACTTAGATAGGAAAGCAGAGACAAAATTTTTTTAGTGGCTGGGCGGCAAAAAAGAAAATGTTTAGTGGTTCAATCACACGAAGGACGCGAAGACCTGGAATGGCTTGACGAAGAGTATGTTGGAGATAATTTCAGCGTAGACGAACCGAATGTGTCATACCAAACTCCATTTATAAACAATATATAAGATTGGGTTGCATCTCAGTTTGAATCCACAGATTAAAACAAAAAAATTTTATTCTTGGGATTACGTAATCATTGGGGGGGGGTGTTTTGTTTATTGAATGATTACGTTTGATCACCAGGGGGGGGGGAGGGGGTCAAAAATCACCAAAAACGTGATTACGTAATATATGGACATCCCCCTACGAAGAAATGCTGCACAGCCGCCATAAAAAATAGAAAATGGCCAAGAAAATTGTAGATCGAGTATTACTATAAAAGAGTAGATGTCGATTTGCGTCATGTTCCCCCAGCCCAAACCATAAGACCTAAAATTCATGAAAACATTGGGTCTGAATCGTGTGTTAGAGGAGGTGTGCACTAAAGGCATTTTTCCACTATGCGGTTTTTTCGGTATTTTTGTGTATTTTCGATTGGCAACGCGATAGGCGGACGTGAGGTGTTTCCATTGGCAAACGCGTCTGAAAACAGCTGTTCTGCTATTGTCATTTGCGAGCTGAAGTAAACAATGGATTTAAATAATTTGTTATTGATAATTGTAATCGCAGAACAGCATTTGAACGTGGAAACATTGCTGCAATGATGAAAGCAACAACATCCCACGTTACGCTGCTTGAGCATTTATTACGGCAGAAAGCAAAAGGATCTGCTGCAGAAGGCGTTCATATATATAGATCTGAACAGTCATTTAATTAATTCTTTGACACGACCCGCGACAGCAGTAGCTTCTGCGAACAGAATCTGATACGGGGCAAGAACATTGTGCGCAAGAAAGAGGGAGATGTGCCCTTTTCCAGCAGTCGCCTGTCAACGTGTGTCATTTGAATATGGAATGGCCATCTACGGTCTAACCAGGAGGTCGCCTTAATGGACGAATGGCGCACGCGAAGCAAACGTC